AGACAGACAGACAGACAGGCGTGTGGCACGGGACAGCTGAAACTGAAAGAGAAGGTATTAATAGTATGTTTACCTACACGTAATCGAAATGAGCATGAGTCAGAGTGGGTAGGATTCAAAATGAATAGGATTTAGAGTAAGAAATTAAAATCAGAATAAACTGTTTACTTAATGATAGGATTTAGAATTACAATCATTCTAAATCTCATTCATACATTTACTTACATTCAGAATCAAAATGAAAAAATATAAAAATACTAATATACCCTTTAAATCAATTTGATATTTTCAATTTAAAAAATATAATGTACTTATTATATTAAAATTAATCATATTAAAAATAAAATACATATTTATTATATTAAAATTAACAATAATTATGCTAATATTATAATAGTAGGTAAATAAAATAATAAATATATGTTGCATTTATTATTTTTTGAATTTTATTTTTAATTGTGTATTTATAAATAAAATAAGGATATAATAATAAATTAATATTAATTTGAGGAATGAGAGTCTCAATTCCAATGAGGGTATGGGAGTGCCAATCTCATTCTTCAATCCTAAATTTGAGTGGGATCTACCAATCTCACTCTCATTCTATGATAAAAAAGAACAAGTAAACATGTGATTGACTCTCATTCCTCACTCTCATTTCTCACTCTCATTCTTCAATCATGGTTAGAATAGATGCCATAAACGGCCGCAATGTTTGATCACATACAACGAGTACAGGTGAACTCATATGGAATAAGGGATCTTGTACGATTACTTTGTTGATTGAAAAGTTGGGCTTTAGATCAACCGGTTGCTGGCAGTTTTTGGTTTTTTTTTTTACTCCATTATCGTCTAACTCGGATAGGTTTCACGCAGCCAGCCACTCCAGTCATTGTTATGTTTTTTTTTTAATGCATTATTTAGAATATCAATATATATGTATGTATGTGTGTGTATATATATATATATATATATTTAGAATAGCTATGTTTTTGTTTATCACTCTAAAAAAAATATATATATTTCATAATAGTTTTACTGAAAGACAAAAAAAAAAAAAAAATCCGCACAAAAAATATTATCGTTTTAATATATATATTGGTTTTTGAAAACAATAATCTATGTAAAAGCGTATATCTACGAAATCGCAAAAAATTTTCATAAAATTTTTAAAATACTCTATAAAATATATTAATTTACATCAATTAGAATTAGATTAGAAATTATAGTTAACAACTGATTATAATGATAACTTGAGTTTTTTAATCATGAACAATTCTTGCTCTGAGCTTATTTAGAATACTTAAATCTTCTTCATCAATTCTTTAAATCTACGAAGAACATGTGTGTAGGTATACTTGAAACAAAATAGGTTTAGCACTTAAAACACTCAAGTATTCCACGAGCATCAACACATGTGTGATGTGAAACTAGGAATGAAGAACTTTTTTTTTTCACACAGTAAAATTCGGCCACACTAACACTTGAAAACCAAAAAAATTAGGATCTTCAATTTTCTGCAACTTCCTATTTATAGAGTATCTATGAGAGTCATAGAGATCTTATCTCTTAAGATAATGAATCATAAAATAAGAGATAATATTTAATTTTACCTATTTAAAATAAAATAAAATTCTCATTTAATTTTAGAACAATTTTCTTTCTCATGCTGTAGATAAGGCGGATATAAAATTTCTCATTTATCCAGTTGTCTAATTTTGACTCAAATTTAAATTAAAATTAAAATCAAACTTAAATTCAATTTGAATTCCAATTAGATAATTTATCAAATAAGTCAACTAGATAACTTAGAGAGTAAACAACTGAATTTCAAAGGGATTATAACAGTGCGGGCGTGTGACACTTGTGATCTTCATCACACGTATGTTTCAGAATTCAAATTAAATAATCACATTATTTAATATCTAATTAATTATTTTTGAGTGTTTTATTTAAAATTCCATAATTTTAAAAACACATCCCATTTTGTCCTTAGTGTCTTGTAGATTTACAAGAATGACACGAGGACTCATGGACCTATAATTATGAGCTTTAATAAAATTAATAATTAATCAAACTCTATAATTAATTAAGTAATTAATTATATTAATTCTAAAGTTACTCCACTATAAACTTGGAATTGCACTCTCGTAATTATAGATATAATTTACTTTCAAACTTTGAAGTGCCCATTTGATATAACCATTACATATAGATCATTCCTTAATTCATAATTAGAGCCACGTGAAATCCGTTAACCTCTCTAATTACATCTTTATCCTTGAGTACCATTGATTCTCTAATGAATAATATATTTATAAAATAAATTCATGAATACGAGCTCGTTGCTGATTCAAGTACCGAATCAACCCTCAAGAGAATTATTTATCTACTTCTTTATTTAAGAATTAATGGATTTCATCTCCCGGCTACCTACATCATCATGTCTCTAAGATACAATGAATAAGATTTAGAATATCAAAATCCGTACCGAATAAATAAAAAAATACAAATTCATAAATATGAGCATGTTAATAACTTCGGATTAAGATCATTCTACATATGACTATTAGTAGACTCAGTTCGAATTCCTATATTTAATAGAAATTATCATAAATTCAAATCTTGACTGTGTCTTAATTCTACATAATCACATTCGAGAAAATATTTTTCAACAAGGTAAATTAGAAAAGAAAATAAAATAAGACACGTTTAAAAATATAAGATTCAAAAAAATAATAAAAAGAGGCATGTTGGAATGTACGCTACAATAAAAGATAAATGTGTGTGTTTTTGTTGGAAATATTTATGCATATGTGTCAAAAAAAATTAATGAGCAAATCAGATTAAAAAAATAATTAGAAAGTACACATGAGCAAACAATATACAAAAAGTGATTAGCAAAAAAAAACAATATATAAAAAGCTTAAAGCCTCTTAAGAGTCTAATTCAAGGGGAGAAAAGACCAAGTATAACTTAATTTAGGAAAAAAAAAATATTATAGGAATAAATAAAAAAGGTCTTTTTTTTTGTAAATCCACTTTAAAAATATATAAGATCTTGGGGAGGAAAAAAGAAAATAAGAAAATAATAAAGACAAAAAGAGAAATTAAGAAGAACAACCACATTTTGGTGGAAATCCAATCCAATACGTGCTTTCCGTTCTTCTATATATACACAGCAATACTAAACTCAGCCCTATAAGTATAGACATTAGATAAAACGGGTTTTATAGAAAAAGCCGGTTTTAGTTTATTCTCTCAATAATTGTGACGAGAAACAAAAAGGAAATAAAACAAGGACAATCACTTAAAGGAGCTGCACCTGGCTAGTTTGGCTTTATCCAAAGGTCTCATGAATCACGGTCCCTTGACGTTGATGGCAATCACGCAATCAACGATAAAGTTAGCACTTTTTCCATCTATATACTCAGCGCTTTAAAATCATATTAAACACCCATTTAATTTATGAATTAAAATCATGAGATTAGAATCATATTTGATTTACGTGTATTTTTTATGAGAGAAAATATTATAACGAATTATGAATTATGATTCGAATCAGAGAATGAATCCTCCAACTAAACGAGCTCTAAATTAAAAAATATATAAAATAAACATATTTTTATATAAATTTAACAATTAAAAGATAAAAAACTATTATAGTTTATTTTTATAAAAATTATCAGAGAAAGTTCATGAATATTTTTGTTAACCATACGCTCCTTTAAAGTTTTGTAAAAAAGAAAGAGAAAATTTCAAATTTAACTATTATTTTTTCAACTCTATTATTTATATCACTGTACAAAATTTTAATGCTACTATAGAAATAACTTGTGGGATATAAAGTGATAATTTACGGGTTATAAAAAGATAACATGCAAGTTATTGATGACATGAGATAAATTTAACAATCGTAGTAAAAATAAAATAGTGTTAGAATATTTTTGAAAATTATCAAAAAAAGATAAATATATACCTCTTTTATTTTTTTTATAAAAAAGATATACTTTTTTTATTTTAGTGAAAAATAAAAACTATACCCCATTAACTAAAGCTGTAAAGTGATAAATGAGTTAATGTTGGACTCTTATTATCACTCAGTTCGATCGACTTTAGAAATTTTTTTTCTTTTTTTTTACGTGCAAAAAGTATGGCCCTTTATCGTACGAACTGTGGTCAAATTTGATAACAACACATAAAAAATTATTGAACAATCTGTAAATTTGATGCGTTGAAATCGTTCAATAGTTTTTTATGTGTTGTTATCAAACTTGACCACAATTCGTACGATAAGGGCCATACTTTTTGCAATTTATGTTGAAATCATAGAGAGAAAGCACGAGAAAGAGAAAAGTAGAGAGAGTTTTGCGGCAGGTGGGCCAGCGCGTTGCCGGTCCTCTTGCCGCCGTTCTTCATATGGGGGTCCGCTATCAACCGATATGCACGCTGCCAGGGTTTGTGCCGTCAGTGGAGGAAGTTTGGGTCTGGGTCGAAGTTCGGGTCAGTTACAGGGAGAGGGCTAGCCATCGTCGATCTGGGTCTAGTTTCGCGGAGGGAATAGCAACTGTCGTCCACGGAGGAGGAAGGAGGCTCAGTTCGTTGCTGGAATCGGGTTAGGTCGGTGGGGGGTTAATGTTGGCTCGACATAGGGTTGTTGCGGCGAGTTTGGCTGATCTGGGCGCCATTCGGTGTCTACCGGTGTTTAAGGGCCCTCCCATGATGGTGGGGGGTTCGTGCCGCCGGTGGTGGGTAAGATGAGGCGGATTTGGAACACTCGAGGGGTTTTTCGTGGAGGGGATTTTGGAGCTCTCCGATGGTTGGGAGGCCGGAGCTGGGTGGCTAAGGCCCTTAGGAGGTTAGCGTGGAAGGATTTCGGCTTCACAGATTGTTGTGGCGGTGGCACTCGGACTTTGTATTTTATGTTGTTTCTGCTCTGTGTTTGGCGTAATAAGGGTAGTGGTCTCCCCACCAACCTTTCGTGTTATGTTTAGTGTGTTTTGTATTGTGTTTATGTGATGGGTTTGCCCTAGAGGATGGTTTTCCCATGCCTCTAGTGTTGTTTGGCAGTGTCTTATGTCAGGAATGGGTCAATATATGGTCAACTGTGGTTATTAGAATCACTAACAATAGGAGTTTATCTCTGTTCAAAATTAAGGTTTCATTTAGCTCTGTCGATTGGTGCACGGACTCTTAAGTGAGTTCTTTAAGTCTACTTGTATGCTCAGTTTTTGGTCCTTGTTGGTCCTTGAATCTTTAGTTGTACCTTGGTCGTTTTCAAACTTGTTTTAATAATGTTTTTTACCTCCGTTTGGAGGCCTTACTTTAAAAAAAATAAATAAAAAAAAAATTGTTGAAATCACGTGTGATGTCTCCAGAACATAATTGTTGAGAATTAAATAGATATGTCGTATGTATCGTACTCGTAAAATGAACGGACAAAAGGAGTCTAGATTTTTTTTTCTCCCCTAAAGCGGGCCACAACTTTTTGTTTTTTTTCCTTCAATTTTTCAAAATAATAATATTTGATTCTGACTTTATTTCCACGCTATGAGATACGTGGCGTACGTGAAGGAATTATTGAAAAAACAATATTCAAAAATGTTATCATAGTTGAGTGGCCAGTTGTTTCTTGTTTGGGGGCTAAAAAACTATGCCCCTTCAAAAAAATACAAAAAATATAATAAAATAAAACTTCTCTCTTAGACTATTTCTAATTTGGATGGATATATGTGTATAACTTTATATATTGCGTGTCACCTCAGAAAAATATCGTGTGTATATATATATATATATATATATATAATGAGTGTCTACACTTATATAATACACATGTGCATATGTACATGGGCATGGTAGCCCATGTGATAAGCGCAATGCTCGCACGTCCCAACAAAACCAACACTTTTGAAGAAACTCCTGATATGCACTGAGCAGCATAACGTGGCTCCAATAAGTCCAATTCCACTTTTCTTAATATGATATTTTTTTGAGGTATTTTTTTTAAAATGTTATTTTTGCTAATAATATTCTTTTAAAAAATACCTCAAAAATAGTAAAAAATAGGCTAATATGAAAAGTTTAAGAAAATATATAGGTTAATTTTTAGTTATATAAATTAATAGGCCATAACTTGTTAAGTTATGATTCACAACCAGATAAGTTATGGACAAATTTATCAAGTTATGGTTCATAACCAGACAAGTTATGGATAAAAATCGTGAATAACTTGTCAAGTTATGGTTCATAATCAGACAAATTATGGACGAAAACAGTAATTTGACCTATTTATTAACTTATGTAAATTATTAACATATTAATTTTAATTAATCTAAAGTCTTGACCTATTTTCTTCTTTCTCCCGAAATATAATATTGGTAAGCCCAATTCCACTTGATCCATACGAGACAGCATTAAATACGAATTCGGATGGATTAGCGTAATTTGTTAATTAGCCAAAGACAACAAAGCATATCGCGTAGAATATGTACCAAAGCTTCAAAGAAGGAAAACATGGATCGTGATCGTGATACTTCTTTTTCTTCATTATCTTTTTCAATTTGATAAACAGATTCAGGAATACTAATGACTTATCCTCTCTCTCTCTCTGCTGAATAAATGGCTTATTCTTATTTAACAATTAAAATACGTGCAAAAATTGCTTACTATAACTATATCTGTGCCTGAGTTTATTATTATTATTTTTTTCTTCTCATAACTATCTCTAGATTGTCACAAGTATACAACTTAAGTGCACGTTTTCTAATGTGCTATTTTTTTGAGCAACCGTGGAGGGCGTGGTCTATCATTTTTAAAGTTGACTTTAATTATATCTCATTTTTGCTAAATTTAAAAACAATTTTTTTAAAGAAAATTCATTTTCATAAATTTTAACTGATTTTTATGAATTATTGACTGATCTTGATAAATTATAGATTAGTTAATCATTACTTTACCACCGTGTAATGTATAAAGCTTCAATCACGTAAATCATTGATCTTTTTTAGTTATAAGGTGGATTTTTTTAATGTAAAAAATTTAAGAATATGCCCGTTCATTTCGCTGATTTGAGTTTATAATTCGAGTTGAGATGTGATTTTATGTGAGAGTTTTTTACTGTAGTAAAAAAATTAAATGTGACTGTTTCTGAAAACTTTTTACTGTAGCAAAACTAAAATTCTAAACTCGAATCGGTAAAGTGAACGGATATTTTTTAAAAAGCTATAGTTTTTTGCACATTTCCTTTTTTTTTTTTTTTTTTTTTTTTTTTTTTTTTTTTAAGTTCACAGACACGGAGAGAGCCTTTTCATGGGTACGCAGAGATTTTAGATTTTGTTAAACTAACTTAAAAGGCTGTTAACTTCAACAATATTGTTTAAATAAAAAGGAGCGAGAGAAAGTAATTAAAATACTAATGCCTAAAAAAGAAAAATTGTTTACAAAGTGTTTTTACAGCCAATGATGAAAAAGTCTTAAGTTGACGGAAATATCGTGGATTTGTGAAAATATCGAATGAATATAATGTCGATGATAGTAAAAAAAGTAAAAAGAAAAACAACGAATATTTGCATAAAATTGGAAATTTCAAGTGGAATATACATAAGGTACAAAAAAACTAAATAATCCTTTACTGACTGTGTTTGTCTAAATAATCATATGTATAAGGAATACATGTGAAATATAATGAACATGAATGTGATACATAGTGTAAAAAAATACATTGATGATATACTAATTTTGTACGTAATTAAATTTTAAAATTCTTCATCCATTTAAAAATCAATATATTTTGAGTAATATATTGTTAGAGTAACTAACAATTCAATGAAGTTATTTTTAAAGGGGAAAAAAAGGTAAAAGTGGCGGATTTCTGAAATTAAGATATATAATAAAGTGGAAGAAGCAACTTGATTGAATTTTTTTTAAAGGAAAATTGTATTTTTATTAAAATACTGATAAACAATCGTCTTAGTACAATGCTAATCCATCAAAGGGACATACGCACGTCTGAGGCTTGAAACCAGGAAAGCACCTTGGCACACTAACAACGAGCGGACTGAAAGCTCAACTAGAAAAAACCCCTATCTTCAATATAGGCTATCGAGCGCTGGAGGGGCAGGTTATCAAAACCCACATAAAAGGGACATCTACAAGGCATAGAAAAAATTCTAGCCGAACCAAAATCACCCTATCGCATTAAGCCGAGCACTTAAATCTAACAAAAAATAACAAACTAGACAATAATCAGGTGGAGAAACCACCATGCTTAATACAACACACAAAAGAGACAATAAGAAAAAAAAAACCTTCGACCACTACTAGTAGAAACCTCCGGTGAAAGGTGTTTGGCCAAAGGACCATCGAGGAAGATAGACAACGAAGAAATGTCTACCACCAAGTGGAAAACTCTCCCGATAAAATAGACCATCCATTTGGCTTCCAAGCTCCTAACCGGTTTAAATCTGCCAAAAATGGAGCCACCACATTGTACACCACCACCACCAACGAGAAGCCCACGACGATACGAGTTGGAGGACCAAATTTCACTACTGGGAGATCGGCGACGCACCCGAAAGCAATGCCGGAGCTCCAGCCAGCATCTGCTCTCCAAGAACCTTCTCACTCTCTCCAACTCTCTCTCTAGAAAATGCTTATGAGAAACAAAACTCTTTCAAGTTTTTTGTAACTGCAACTTGATAAAATTAATTCATACCAGTCGTTTATTTATTTAGGTAATTGACACGAATGATCCTAAACTTTTAAAAAGGTGACAATTTGGTTCTTAAACTTTTTTTTTTTTGACGAAACGAGCCTCAAACTATTTAAAAGGGTGTAATGTCGTCATTTTCGTTAAATGTCGTCCAAAAATAGGGACTAACCTATTAAAGTAGATTGGGACTAAAAAATCACCTCATAAAGAAGTAAATGACCATAATGTCACCCTTTTAAGTTATTATGCTGACGAAAATAATTATATTGCACTATTTTAAATAGTTTAAGATTCGTTTCATCAAAAAAAATTTAAAGACTAAACAGTCACTTTTTAAAGAGTTTGATGTTCGTGCCATTTATCCTATTTATTTTTTTTGGTAGAAGGTCCTTTTCCAACTTTTACTCCATTTAATTTCAATTAACACAACTTTATGTCCATCATCGGATCTAGTCTCAAAATCAAGTACATGTCGTTTTCGATTAGTTAAATCGGAAGTCCTAAAAGGAGCCACTTGGCAGATTACCCACCTTGTTTCCAACTGGACCCAAGCCCAACCTTACGTTCGTACGTAGAATTGGGTCTTTTGTTGGGCTGTAATTTGCTGTTCAAGTTTAGGCCCAACTCGAACAGAAAATCCTGAACCGAAGAAGATGAATACTTGCCGATATTCACACTGAGAATTATTAGGGTTTTTTCCTCCTAAAAGGATCAATCTGAGTTGTCGCATTAAGGCATCGATTTAAAGAACAAAATTTCTTAAATCGAAAATTCTGAATTACAGTATTTTTTATTTTGTTATTGCAATTTGTTTCTTCTATTTATCTGAAGAAGAAGAAGAAGAGCAGCCATGGGTGCTCAGAAAAAAGGAGCATCCAGGGTCTCAGAGGATCACGAGGATTTGACACGTGTCCCCTTGCAGGCCATTCTCTTGGCTGACAGTTTCGCCACCACTTTCCGCCCTATCACCCTTGAACGTCCCAAGGTCTCTCTCTCTCTCTCTCTCTCTATATATATATATATATATCTATACACTACACACACATGTATTTATATTATATATGTTTTGTATGTATTAGTTACACGAGGTCTTGCTTGGTTTGTGTATGTTAATGTATAAGGTTTTGAGTTGCGTGTATCAATGTATATGGAAGATTTGATTTTGTACGATAAAGAAGAATTTCGGGACACTGTTGAAAAAATCTGCAAAAGAAGTTGAAATTTGTATTGTATATATGCTTGTTATTGCTTAAATTATCAACCTTTAAATTGAGTAATTTTTTTTTTTGAAGGTACTGCTACCATTAGTGAATGTCCCAATGATCAATTACACCTTAGCATGGCTTGAATCAGCTGGTGTTGAGGAAGTTTTTGTTTTTTGCTGCGCTCATTCCAAGCAAGTGATTGATTACCTCGAGACTTCTGAGTGGTTTTCTCAACCGAATTTCTCGGTCCAAACGATTGAGTCGCATAATTCCGTGAGTGCTGGAGATGCGCTGCGGTTGATATACGAGCGCAATGTGGTATGTTGGGATCTTTGTTTCCTTAGATAAGTGTGAAATTCATTATATACTTATTCAAAAAGTTAGGCTTAGATTTATCGTCTTGAGAGACTGTAATTGTCTGCATGATTTTGAGATGGAAAAATGAGATGGCTATGGTATCATGTTATATTTGAGTCCAGAGAGTTGTAGTTTTTCTTTTCATGTTCTTAGATTGCAATTGTTGGATATGATTTTCTTCAGAGATTATTCATGCTTTGTTCTAAAGAAATTAGATTGTATTTTCCTTTTCATATGAAGGTTGCAGATCAGTTTTATTCTAACATTCTTGCGATATTCTGTTGCGTCTGAAGATACATGGAGATTTTGTCCTAATTAGCGGAGATACTGTAAGCAACATGTCGCTTACTCGGGCGCTTCAAGAACACAAGGAGAGACGGAAAAAAGATAATAATGCTGTTATGACAATGGTGATTAAACGATCAAAGCCTTCCCAGATCACTCATCAATCCCGACTTGGTACTGATGAACTTTATATGGCAATAGATCCCACTACAAAACAGCTATTGTATTATGAGGACAAGGCGGACCATTCAAAGGGAGCAATATATTTGGATAAATTATTACTCGCTGATAATACTTCAATTTCACTGCACAATGACAAACAAGTATATTCCTCAATTCCCTTAAACGTCTCTTGTTTCTGACTGGTCATTAATATATTTTTGGGTTTTTTAAGGGGTTTTAGGGTTTTTTAGGGTTTTTAGGGGTTTTAAGGGTTTTTTTTAGGGGTTTTAGGTTTTTTTAGGGGTTTTAGAGTTTTTTTAGGGATTTTTAAGGTTTTTAGGGTTTTTTAAGGTTTTTAGGGTTTTGTTTGCGCTTGCGCGAGTTTGTGTTTTAAAATACTTGTTTGCGCTTGCGCGAGTTTGTGTTTTAAAATACTTTACATGACTGTAACTTATTACTGTGAAGTAGGGAAATGGTACTCTTGAATAGTCTTTTTGGTATGCAAGTCATAGGAAAGAAACAGAGGTTATTGGTTATTATGGTTATTATTATTTTCAATTTGGTAATTCATATTATGTACGTGTTAGCGGCCATTCACAATTTCATTAATAGAGATTCTCTCTGGCATTACTTTTATTTATGTTTATTTTTCCCATGAATTACTCAGAGGAGCTGTGGAGTCTTTACTACAATTTAACCACATATTTCCGTGTTATCTATGTGCAGGATTGCTATATTGATATCTGCTCTCCAGAGGTCCTTAGTCTTTTCACAGATAATTTCGATTATCAACATCTACGACGCCATTTTGTCAAGGGATTGCTTGTTGATGATGTACGTGTTTCTTACTAAACTTTTTTTAACCAACGTAAACATAACTAGGCTGCTTTGGGAACTCATATTTTCTTTCACATCATCATTTTTTGTGTAATACTGAAGAAAGATCTTTGTTTGATTAAGTTCTAACTATTTATGCCTATAATTGGTCAAACACTTGTCTGATGGTGTCAACTTAGAGAGTGACTAACAATAAGGAATTGAAGTGTGGTAACTTTCTTTTTTGTGTGTTTAAAATGGGGGAGTCGAGGGTGGTTTAGGTTTGAAGTGGAATTACTTCGAGGAATTATATAGTCAAACTTTTGGTAGTTTAGTCTGTGTGTTCTTCGGCAATATTTTCTAGTGATAATTTGGCTTGTAGTGGAAAAAAACCAGGTTATGATTTGATCACCTGGGTTATGACTTATGAAGCCTTTTTTTTTTTGATTGAGGAATTTTATTGGGTGTGGTTGGTTGTACTGGGTTCTAATGTTTAAGCATTGATTTTGGTATATGCATGAGGGATGCAGGTGATTCCTTTTTGTGGGGCCTTTTGATATTCTTTCTTCATTGCCTCAGTTTTGTGTTTGTCCATTTATGCATATACGGTGCCATTATGCTACATTACAAATACGCTTTTCTGTTATTTTGAGACAATTATATATAAGTTCGTAATTAATTCTCAAAAGGACTGTCATGCAAGTTATCTGATACTTCACTTTTCCTTTCTTGTTCTTGGTACCATGACTCTACGTATTGTTTTCATTTTTGCACATATACTTTTATGTTTATTTTTGTTTTGCATTTCTTCACCATCTATCCATTCAACAGATTATGGGTTACAAAATATTCACACATGAAATTCACTCAAGTTATGCGGCTAGGATCGACAACTTCCGAAGCTATGACACTATTAGTAAAGACATAATTCAACGTTGGACGTATCCTCTTGTGCCTGATGTTATGTGCTTTGAGAATTCTACGACTAAATTAGAAAGACAAGGAATGTATCGAGCATCAGGTAAAAAACATAGATTGTATAAGATATCCTTTGTTTAGTCGGATAGTAGAAATCCCTGTGATATTGATTTCATAAACTTATTACTCTCCAGAAATAGGGCAACAACGTTCTGCGAAGATTGGTCCATTTACAGTTATTGGAAATGGCACCAAAATTGGGGACAACACAAGCATTTCGAATTCAGTTATTGGGAAAGGGTGTAGTATTGGAGCAAATGTTTCTATAGAAGGTTCCTATATTTGGGATAATGTCATCATTGAAGATGGCTGCAAGCTAAGGCATGCCATAGTGTGTGATGGAGTTATAATGAAATCTGGTGCAGTGTTGGAGCCTGGAGTAGTTTTGTCACTCAAGGTATGTGCTTGTGTTTTTATTAATGGGACCTGTATTAATTATGAAATGTCACACTTTTTTATTACTTTTTTATTTTTTGCTGAAATGAGATGCTAATTCTTTCTTGTTTGGTGGACATTTATATATTAGAAAATTGTGAGAGCAATGGCGCACATCATGAAAAAAATATCTGGCTTATATCTTAAATGATGAGGTGTCAAATTTAGTACAATTTACAAAAGTGTAATTACTGTTTTAGCCCTACCTTTTTTGCCAAATCAACTTTGCGATGGGTGTTTTGAAAAATATAGTTGCAAGATACAAATCGTTTTTGAGCCGCATAGTGGCTTTGCCTCGTCACTTACTGGTCCAAATCGTCCTATATAAGAATTCAAATTCGTGGAGGCATATGTTTATTTATATTTGTAACCTATAGTATTTCACTATTTCTAAAGAATTCTGACAGTACAATAGTCTCATCATTTTAGGGATCTGAATAGTTTTGGACAGTGTCTTGATATCTTCTTTCAGCTAATATGTTTTTATTTGTATATCCCCTATTTGAACTTGCTGCATATTTAAACAGTACTTTTAAAAAGACTAATTGAAAAAAAAAAAAAAAATCTTCCCGGAATATATATGTTGGTTGCTATGGAAGCGTGTATTATATCCCCTCTTGCTCTTGGCACGAAGCCATTTAAAGAGAAATAGTGTTAGATTACCAATCCATCCCAAAAGCTTAAGCTGTTGGGAGGTAGGTCAACAATAGTTTTATACTTTAACACTCCCCCTCACGTGTGAGCTGAACAATGGGCAATCGTGTGGGTAAATTAATTAGAAAGCCCAACACGTGAATATTTAAGCCCGAGATATATTAAAGACCCAACACATGATGACAATTTAAATGGGGATAAAGAGTGCAATTATGGGGATTTGAACTCAGGACCTCCCGCTCTGATACCATGTTAGTTTACCAATCCATCCTAAAAACTTAAGTTGTTGGGATGTGGGCCAACAATAGTTTTATACTTTAACAAATAGTTTTTAGGAGTTTCTTCTTTTGTCTTGTTCTGTTCTTTCTTTTTACTTACGGTCCATTGGAATTAGTCAAACCAACATACATTTCTGGATAATTGGCCACTTTTAGGTTTTAAGTTCTTCTGGGTTTGCTTACCTGCAGGTTGTGATAGGGCAGCAATTTGTTGTTCCTTCATACTCGAAGGTGTCTTTATTCCAACAGCCAACCAAGCAAGATAGTGATGAAGAGCTGGAGTATGCTGACAATAGCAGTGGGATTGTCGACATTCCACGTAATAACTTTTGCTCTTCATCTCATGCATCGACATTTTGCATTTTTATTTTGAATAATTATCGAAAATCTACTTTTACTATGTAAATATTTTCCGAAATCTGAAGTGTGTTTATTTTCATCTTCCAATTTTCAAGATAGCGTCTGTTTGGCCTTAATATTTTGCTAGGACTTAGGATCAGATTCAGAAAACATTTATGATATATATGTATATGCATATGTATATATATATTTATATTTATGGGTTATTGACTAATAAGAGACATCCAAATTTAGTACATTTTCTTATTTCTTTACTTTTCAATGTACAGCAATGGTTGATACTGCGGATAAATCAAATGGGGAAATATCTGAACTATTGGACACACAACGTTGGCCTACATCTCAGGTTAGCTTCCTGTTCACTTGCGGTTGTGCTCTGGGTCTCACTTTTTTCCTTGTTCCCATATTTTATTTTTCAAGTTCCCCCCCCCCCCCCCCCCCCCCACACTATATCCACCTACCACTTTTTCCATTTTGG